TAATTTTATTCAGTAGTTAAAAATAAGGTTACAACATATTATTTATACTAACTCTAACTTGGGTTCATACAAGATTTTAAGGCCCGTACAAGAAAATACTCATACCGTACCACAAGGGCGTTGTCCCCGCACTCCCTACCTTTCCAACGTCCCTAGCAGCCAGATAGTAAATTAAACCCGTGCAAGGTCGATGTTGTCGCTACGTTCCCCTCACTCCAATCCGCTCCTGCGTCGGCCTATTTGATCCAGAGGACCTATGTTCCACTCTATATGAGCCATATACACAACAATCTCTACCTTGACGAATATTCACCCCTTAGGAGAATACACAAAAAATAACCTGGGAAACCACACTGTCTAGGACTAATGCTTGAACCTATCCATTGTGATTGACTTTTGTCATCATGTCTGCTGCATTCTCTAAGGTATGCGTCTTCTTTAACAACAGCTCTCCTGAAGTAACCAACTCTCTCATCTTGTGAAATCTCACATTAATGTGCTTAGTTCTTGCATGATAAATCTGATTCTTCGCTAAGAATGTGGCACTCTGATTATTACAGTACAGCTTCATTCCATTTTGCTTGATCCCAAGTTCCCTGAGAAGCCTTCTCAGCCACAATAATTCCTTGGTTGCCTCAATTGCCACTATGTACTCTCCTCCAGTTGTAGATAATGCCACAAGTGGCTGCACCATTAATCTCCAACATATAGGCCCACCTGTTAACGTGAAAACACAACCAGTGTGGGAGGGACCTTCCGTCATCCAAGTTACCTGCATAATTTGCATCTACGCATCCTTGAACTGAAACATCATTATGTTGTCTCTCAAACATGATTCCACACTCCATTGTATCTTTCAAGTACTTGAAAATCAACTTTACAGCTCTCCAATGCTCTCTATCGGGATTAGTCATATACTTGCTAACCACATTGACTACATGTGCTAGATCTGGTTTGGTAGACATCATTGTATACGTCAAACATACAACTACGCTGGCACAAGGCACCTTTGACATATCTGCAATTTCTTCTTCATTCTTTGGACACTGATTATTAGACAATCTAAAGTAATATGCCAATGGTGTAGCAACTGGTTTTGCATTTGACATGCTAAACCTTTCCAACACGCTTTTCAAATAATTTTTTTGAGACACCCATAATTTTATAGCCTTCCTATCTCTATTGATCTCCATGTCAAGAATTTTCTTAGCCGATCCCAAGTCTTTCATATCAAACTTACTGCTCAACAAAGATTTCAATCTGTCTACTTCATTGATGCTCTTGGCAGCAATTAGCATGTCGTTCATATACAACATCAAGAAAATATATAAATGATCATCAAGAACTCTGTAGTAAACGCAACAATCATACTCACGACGATTGTATCCAATCTGAATAATATGAGAGTCGAACTTCTTGTATCATTGCCGAGGAGACTCCTTAAGCCTGTATAAAGACTTCTTCAGTTTACATACAAGATTCTCTATTCCTGGTTCCAAGAGCCTTTCTAGCTATTCCAAATCACCATGAAGGAAAGCAGTCTTCACATCCAGCTGCTCTAACTCCAAGTCAAAACTAGCCACCATTACCAAAATAATCCTGATGGAAGTGTGTCTGACGACCGGAGAGAAAATTTCATCATAATTTACTCCCTTCCTTGTATCCCTTTGCTACTAATCGAGCCTTGTATCTTTCTCCTCCATTTTCTGACATTGCTTCTTTGTTTCTGTACACCCACTTACACCCCATCGATTTCTTTCCCTCTGGAAGCTCCACCAAATTTGAAGTATCATTTTTTTGCAGAGACTCAATTTTTTTCGTCGTAGCCTCTATTTATTTATCTTTCTCATTACTACCAATGGCATCTTGAAAAGTTATAGGATCGCTATTGCTGGTAATGAGTGCATAAGAAACCGAATCCTCGAATCCATACTTCATTAGTGGCTTGATAGTGCAACGTGGTCTAAGGCAACACTATGATATTGCTCCACCTCTGACCCAGAACTATCTGCTCTGTGAGCTTTAATATCCATGTCAACATTGTCTAGCTCTACTTGCACCACTTAGTTGTTGCTGCTGCCCTCGTCTAGATTGAGCTTCTCTTTATCTGAAGAAGATTTAAGCATAAATTCTTCATCAAATAACATGCCATGTTCACTGCTTCTGCCCAAAAACTCTTTGAAAGCCTTGTATTCAACCTCAAACATCTTGCCTGTTCTGCAATTGTTCGGTTCATCCTCTTCGCTATACCATTCTGCTGCGGTGTCTTGCAAACTATACGCCGCCACTAAATACCATGCTTCTCACAAAATTTCAAAAACTGTGAATCTGTGTACTCTATACCGTTGTCTGTCCTCAGATACTTAATTTTTCTACCTGTCTGATTCTCTACTACTTCCCACAATCTGAACTTGGCAAAATCTTCAAATTTGTGCTTCATGAAATATACCCAAACTTTTCTAGAGAAGTCATCGATAAAAGTAATGAAATATTGAGATCCACCTTTGGACAACTCCCTCACTGGTCCCCAAACATCTAAGTGCGCGTAATCAAGAATGTCCTCTGTCTTGTGTTTTTCCATCTTGAACTTTACTCTGGACTGTTTTCCAAGTACACAAAACTCGTAGAAATCTAGCTTGCATGATTTTACCCCCTTCAACAAATTCCTCTTGTAAAGCTCAACCATGACACATTCTTCTATGTGCCCCAGTCGCATGTGCTATAGAAGAGTGTCATCTGACTCAGATTTTGCTGTAACAACTCCACCTACAACTGTATTCCCGAGTTGTTTGTAGATACTCCCTGCTAATTTCTGACCCTTCATCACAATTATAGCCCCTTTCTTCATTGTAGATCCCCACACTGTGACTTATAAGAATAACTATTTGTGTTTAAAGTGCCTAAAGAAATTAGATTATTTCTCAACTTAGGTACATGCCTAACATCCTCCAACGTCCTTACCACACCATTGAACATTTTAAATTTATGGACCACATTCCAATGACCTTACATGATGCATCATTACCTATTAAAATAGATCAAAAATTATCCGGACGATATGAATCAAACCAATCCTAGTGAGGACATGTGATATGAACAGGCTGAATCAAGTACCTGACAGTCATATAATTTTTAAGAATTACCTGCAGAGACTGATAGCATGTATCCATCTCCAGAATCCGAGTCTCCTTCTGCAACACTAGCTGAGTTTGAGGACCTATCACCTTTCCTTTCATCACCTTTCTTCTTGTTCGAACAATCTTTCTTAAAGTGACTCATCCGATGGCATTTTTAGCACTCTGACTTTTTTCCTATTTTGATTCCTAGATTTTGATCTCGTGTTCCATTTGTAAGAACCACCCATGTTTTTACTTCTCCCACGATCCCGGTAGCCTTTTACAATCAGCCCTTCTCCTTGTGATCTTTTGCCAGTACGCAGTTTCCACTGGCTGTAGGCCAATAGGGCTAATGTGACTTCCTCCAATTCGAGTCTCTTTACCTTACGTCAACGTGGTTATCAGGTGGTCGTAAGGAGGAAGAGAGCGCAACAGTATCATTGTCTTGTCTTCATCATCAAACTTGATTTCAAGTCGCAATAAATTGCTGATGATTTGATTGAACACATTGGTGTATTGAATCAGATCTGTTCCCTCCAAGAGACTCGACACATAACGCTCTCCAATTTCTCCCAAACCTCCGCCGGAGACTCAACGTCCATGACGTGATACATGATCTCATCCGCCAAACAAAGTCGAATTGTACCAACTGCTCATGCCTCAAGCTCTTGCCAATCGGCATCTGACGTACCCTCTGGCTTCTTCCCAGATAGTGCCTTCACCATCCCTTGCTGCGCCAACAAATCCTTTACCCTTAGCTGCCATAATCCGAAATTTCTAGATTCGTCAAACTTCATCACATCAA